CCCCCCGCCAGTAAAAGAAACACACACTGGGCTGGGCACCATAGCCAGAGAAAAATACCCTAACTCTGAAACTAACGCCAAAAGATCATACTTGGCCCCTAGATTAGGGACATGCAAAAGAAATTTGCCCAGGCCCTGAAATTAGAGCCTAAAAACTAAAAAGAACCATAGGAAGAAAGACAGTTTGGCCCTGAAACCAGAGCCATTTCTGCCCCTGCCACAAAACCAGCCAATCCCTGAGCAGGGAAAACTGACCAATTCCTGAGCAATAAAGTAGTAACCTTCAGCTTAAGGGTGTGAACTTTCCAACCTAGGAAACTAGGGTAGTAACCTCTAGTCTAGAGGCACAACCTTTTCCGGACCTCAGTTTAGGGAAGTAGTACCTCTAGTCTGGTGGCTTGACACCCTTAAGGGAAGTAATAACCCTAGCCTAGAGGTGTCCCCCTCACTTTAGCAGGGGCAGCCTCTTCCAGTCAGCAAGGCATGGCTTTTCCCTTCCCCCATGGAGGGATAAATCAGAACCGAGTAAACAACTCTAGGATTTGAGCCGATCCCAAGGGTATAATTATGCAGTCTTGGAGGTCTTGAGCCAATCCCAAGCCTGTAGCAGGTTTAGAGTTCCCCAAGCCCCGCCCTCCTGCCTGGCTACTATATAAACCACCTTCTCCCACTATTCTGGATCTCTCCCTCTCTGCTATTATCAGTGCTGCTGCAACTCGAAAATAAAGATTGGTTGTTTTTGCATCAGAGTCAGTCTCTTCAGGATTTCTGGCTTAACACTCTACATGGACAAGTATTCTTACCTGCTAAGCCATCTCTCCAACCCCAAATTTATGTGTTTTTGTTTGTTCGTTGAAAGATCTATTTTATGTTTCGGGGTGTGGTTCCACACACTTTTAATTCCAGCAATCAAGGCTGAGGCAGGCAGATCTTTGTGGGTTTGAGGCCAGACTGATCTACAGAGTTTTCTAGGACAGCCAGGCCTACATGAGAGACCTTGTCTTAAAAAAATATGTATAAAAGATTTATTTATGGACTTTTTATCTGCATGTATGTATGTGCACCACCTGTATGCCTGCAGAGGTCAGTCCCTTGGAACTGGAGTCAAATGTTTGTGAGTCACCGTGAGTCAGTACTTAGACACTGAACCCCAGCCACCCTTTTTGTTTTATTTTTGTTGGTGATGGTGGTGTTCTTTGTTTGCCTTTTCTTTTTTTTTTCTTTTTCTTTTTTGAGACAGAGTTTCTGTATAGCCTCGGCTGTCCTGGAACTCACCCTGTAGACCAGGCTGTCCTCAAACTCACAGAGATCCATCTGCCTCTGCCTCCCGAGTGCTGGGATTAAAGGCGTGTGTCACCATCCAGCTTATTTTGTTCCTAAGACAGGGACTCATGTAGTCCAGTTGGCCCCCAATTTGCTATGTATTAAGGATGACCTTTAACTTCTGACGCTCATGCTTCCTCACCAAATGTTGGAATTTTATGTATAAACACACACACACACACACACACACACACACACACACACACACACACACACATATCACTGTGTACATATGAATACTATGATCCATATATGAATACTATGATTATATATAAACCACCATGCCCAGCAATTCACTGTGACAGTTAAAATTTAATTTATTTTATATGTATAGTGTTTGTCTACACTTATGTGTGTGCATCATGTGCACACAATGTTCATATAAGCCAGAATGTGTCAGGTCCCCTAGAACTGGAGTTACAGATGGCTGTGAGCCACCATGTGGGTGCTGGGAATCAAACCCTGGTCCTCTGCAAGAGCAGCAAGTGCCCTTAACCACTGAGCCATCTCCCTCGCCTCTAATGGACTTTTATTAATTTATTATTTTTAATTTATTTTTTCATTTTTCAAGACAGGGTTTCTCTGTATAGTCCTGTCTGTTCTAGAACTCATTCTGTAGTTCAGGTTGGCCTCGAACTCACAGAGATCTGCTTGCCTCAGACTCCCAAGTACTAGGATTAAAGTCATGTACCCCCCCCACACACACACTGCCTGGCAGAACTTTTGAAAATATAACCCTAATTTATTTATTTTAGATTGTGTTTGTGTATGTGTACATGCCCATGTGTGTACATGTATAAATGCAAAGCACATGTATGGAGGTCAAAGGACAACTTTCAGGTACTGTTTCTCTCTTCCCATATGGGTCCCAGAGCTCAAACTCAAGTCTTCAAGCTTGGGGGGAAGAGCCTTTACCTGATGAGTCATCTCACTATCCCCCAGTGTTATATTTTTATACATGTATATCACATGCTTAGACCCTCCTTTATTTTATCTTGTCTCCCCCTCTCCATGGTCCCTTCTTTTCCCAAAGATTATTTGTGGTAGGGGGAGGTCTAACATTTCTTTGAAATTGCAATTTTGTGATAATGACATTAATAAAAGGTATTTTGTTGCTTAGTCTATAAACTATAGATACCTAACCCCGAGGGGCATGCCCTAATCCTCCAGCCAGGCCTGGCAGCTCAGTCCACAGTCACAGCTACTTGAAAGGCTGAGAGAAGAGGACTGCAAGTTCAAGGCGGTTTTGGGTTACACAAGGGGTTTAAAACCAGCCAGCGCACTCAGACTCTGTCTTGTCTAGAATTTGTGCTGTGATATGCACACACGCACACACACACACACACACACACACACACACACACACACACACACACACAATTATTTCAAAGGAATCCTGAAATATCAGCCCCATTTTTCAAGTGGGTGACAACAGTAAAAGAAATGAAATGATAATGGTCAAAATTCTGCACAGCTGGAGGCTGTCAAACTTCTACTCAGCTCACTCCAAATTCTTGCTATTTCTTCTGACCTCCCCTGTTACCAGCTACACTTAGGTGCACAAACAGACATGCAGGCAAAATTAAAAAAAAAAAAAAAAAAAGAAAAGAAAAGAAAAAAAAAGAAACCAACCTGAAGGAAAATGTCCTCCAAAGAAGACATTGAATAGTTCTTCTGGAGAGATGTCAGCTTCAAAATCCCTGTAATAATGGTAAGATCTGGCTCGGGGTGCAGTGAAGGTCATCTGCTCATCTCCATACTCATCATAGCGCAGTCTCTTGTCAGGATTGCTCAGGACCGCAAAGGCATTTCCTATTGCTGCAACCAACAAGAAGCAGCACATGAGCACATCCTTAGCTGTGGCTGGGGTTGACCACTGAAGCACCATCATCACCACCACCACCATCATCAACAACAGCAGCAGTAAGAGGCCTGGAATCAGTGCTAGACAGACTCACAGAATTCCAAAGAGAGGTACTTAGGTCTACAAAGTTTCCCCAAAGGACTTGCCCCAGAGATTGTTCATAATCTTGATAAAACAGAAACAACACTAGAACCCAGCAACTAGGAACTGCTACCGAAGTAAACATTAACTCCTAACCAAGAGTTCTCCAGTCATCCCAGATGCCCTAATGTTAGGACCCTATACCAAGGTTAGGCTGCCTATAATTTCAGACATGTTGGAGAAATAGCTAATTCTCCTATTACCCAAAAATGGAATTTGGGGGTCTGGAGAGATGGCTCAGAGCTTAAGAGCACTAGCTGTTCTTTTAGAGAACCCAGGTTCAGGTTTCAGTATTACAATGGGTGACTCACAACTGCCTGTAACTCTAGTTTCTAGGGTTTTGACACCCTGTTCTGGCGTGTGCACAGACAGACAAATAAGCACACACATATACATAAACAAAAATTTAAAAGAAATGTGTTCAGCCAGGTGGTGGTGGCACCCGTCTTTAATCCCAGCACTTAGGAGACAGAAGCAGTTGATCTCTGTGAGGTTGAGGCCAGCCTGGTCTACAAAGTGAGTTCCAGGACAGCCAGGGCTACATAGAGAAACCACGTCTCAAAAAAAAAAAAAAAAAAAAAAAAAAAAAACAATATAGAGAGGGAAAAAAAACACGAGCATGCTTACCACATGAGGCTCAGGATCTCTTTCTCCCCCAGCCCTCCCCCCCTCACAGACACACACCAGTGTTCTGGTTTTATCTAAGAGTAACAGTTTATTGAAACAGCCTACAGTATTATAATATTATTAAATTGAAGTAAAAAAAATCTCCTAAATAAAATAATCTGCAAAACCCCTTCTGCTTGGATAAAAACAAAGGGCTCAGCCAGGCATTGGTGGTGTATATCTTTAATCTCAGCACTTGGGAGGCAGAGGCAGATGGATCTCTGTGAGTTCAAGGCCAGCCTGGTCTTCAGAGTGAGTTCTAGTACAGGCAAAGCTACACAGAGAAACCCTGTTCTGAAAAAAAACTAAAATAAGTAATTGTTTCAGCTGGGCAGTGGTGGCAATTTTTTTTTTTTTTTAAACTCAGCACTTGGGAGGCAGAGGCGGGTATTTCTCAGAGTGCAAGTCCAGCCTGGTCTACAGAGAGAGTTCTAGGACAGCCAGCGCTACACAGAGAAATCCTATCTTGAAAAACCATAAAAACAAACAAAAGCCCCATAGGGTTCGCCAAAGTCTTATTTCAGCACATTCTAGGCCACAGTCTAAACTAAGAAATGTATCTGCAAGAGCTGAAAATTGTACCTGTAATCCTAGCACTTGAGATGTATGAGGACCAACATAGCAAGTTTGATGACAACCTGGGCTAATGTCTCAGAAAAGTGAAAGCAGGCGGGAAGAGGCTTCTCCGCCCTCCCCATACATACAGTGGCATACTTGGGTTATGCTCATCACACTCGCACGGCACACACAGGCATTCCCTTGTGCTCTATGATTCAGGTGCCTGCTGGTGTCAACAAGGCCAGAAGGAGCACTTTATTATGATCTACAAGACTCTATTAATGCTTGCATAAGAACCTCAGCTAAGCAGAAAAACAAGCCAAAGTACCCAAATAGGGTTGCTTAAGCATGTGTACTCCTTGAAATATGACAGATTCCCCAAAGAAACGGCATTGGTTACTGAGACTTCCATATACATATAAAGATACAAAGCATTATCTACATGCTTCCTTAGCAATGCTGTAAGAACTAGATTCACAATAGAGAGGCTGCCTTCATGATATGCAGGGATTTTTTCTTTGTTTTTGTTTATTTTAAGATTTATTTTTATCTGGGCATGGTAGCACACACTTTTTTTGCGGGGGTAGTGGTGGTGGTGGTGGTGGTTCGAGACAGGGTTTCTCTGTGGCTTTGGAGGCTGTCCTAGAACTAGCTCTTGTAGACCAGGCTGGTCTTGAACTTACAGAGATCTGCCTGCCTCTGCTGGATTAAAGGTGTGCACCACCACTGCCTGGCTTGGTAGCACACACTTATAATTAATCCCAGTGCTCTGAAAGCAGAGGCAGGCAGATCTCTATGTCTTTAAGGCCATCCTGGCCTGCAGAGTGAGTTCCAGGCTAGCCAGGGCTACACAAAGAGACATTGTCTTATTTTTTTTTTTTTTTTTTTTTTTTTTTTTTTTTGACAGGGTTTCTCTGTGGCTTTAGAGGCCCTCCTGGAACTAGCTCTTGTAGACCAGGCTGGTCTCAAACTCACATAAATCCGCCTACTTCTGTCTCCGAGTGCTGGGATTAAAGGCGTGCGTCACCACCACCGGGCGAGACATTGTCTTAAGCAAACAAAAAATTCATTTCCATTTATGTGTATGGGCTTGTTTGCCTGAATGTATGTATATGTACCACATGTGTGTGGTGGGTGCCCACAGAGGCCTGAAGAGGGTGCTGAATTGCCTGGAGCTGGAGTTTACTGACAGTTGTGAGGCATCACGTAGGTTTGGGGAATTGAACCTTGGTCCTCTGCAAGAATAGCCAGGGCTCTTAAACACTGAGCTGTCTCTTGTACACCCAAGTTGGTTCAGTGAGTAAAGGCACTTGCCACCTGGCCTGATGTCCTGAGCTCAATCCTGGGAACCCACTTGGTTACAGAGAACCACACAGAATGAACCAACTCCTGCAAGTTGTTCCCTGGCCTTCATAGACCCACACAAATAAATGTAAAGGAGTTTCAAGTCTTTTTTCCTTATTTTTCAAATATCAACTATACAGAAAGGCTTGTGGGGTTTTGTTTTGTTTTGTTTTCTAGTACAATAAAGATACATAAGCTGGGCCTGGGAGTGCACAATTGTAATCCTGGCATCCAGGAGACAGAGATGAGATTCTGGAGTTCAAGGCCATCTCAAGGCTACATAATAAGGCTTTGTCTAAAAAGACCAAACCCCAGGGCTAGACAAATGGCTCGGCAATGAAGAGCACTTGCTGCTGTTCCAGGAGCAGAGTTAGGTTCCCAGTATCTGGGTCCAATGGCTCACAGCTGCCTACACCTCCACCTGCAGGGGATCTGATGCACTCTTCCGGCCTCTAAGGACAACCACAAACAATTGGCATTTCCACAAACATTCACATACACATAGATAAAAATAGCACACACTACAAAAAATAACCTATGTGCCCTCTACCTGGACTGATCAATTGTTTTGTTTTGAGAAAAGGTCTTACGATGTAGCTTTGGGTGGCCTGGAACTCACTATATCAGACCAAGTTGGCCTTGAAATCAGAGATCTACCTGCCTGTGTTTCCCCACTGCTGGGATTAAAGGTGTAAAGCATCATAATTAGACCCTGATTAATTCCTTTTTAAAACTTTTATTGATTCTTTGTGGATTTCATATCATGCACCCAATCCCATTCATTTCCACATCCCTTCTTATTCACCCTCTGCCCCTACAACCTCCCCACCAAAAATAAACAAAAACAAAAACAACAACAACAAGATCTTGTAGTGGAAGCTGTAATGTGTCACAGTGAGTCACACAGTAAACCCTTTAGTCCATACATCTTTACTTGCAAGTGTTCACTGCAAGAAGTCATTGGTCTGGTTTGAGGCCTCTGATTTCTGCTACAGTATCAGTGCTGAGCCCCCACTGGGACTCCTTTTGGATATCCTGTCGATGCCTTGTGTCATGGAGGTGGAGGTCCTGCAGCTTTGGGTCTGCAGAACCAGCCCCTCCACGTGCTCCAGCAGATCACAGATGGGGTGGATGTTGGGATGGGCCAGCTCACAGCCCTGCTTCTGGGTCTGGGTGGTTGCTGGGTTCATTAGCCTGCCTGCTCTCCGTCATCCTCACCACCAGAGCGAACTCTCTAGTACTGCCCTGGCTAGCTCTCCCAATGCCACAGGCAGCAAGGGGCAGGACCGGCTCACCCAGGTCCCTACCAACAGGGTCAGCCCTATTGTGCTGTCCAGATGAGGAGCAAGGCATGCTTTCCAGTGAGGGGCAGGACCAACTCTATGCAGCCCTTGGATGTCAACATGGTTCCAGGCAACAGTCCAGACCAGAGATATCATCAAGGCTTTTATTGGTGATATGGGTCTTGGCCATGGACACAAACCCCTGCTGCTGCATGGCCATGGACCCAGACATGGTCCTCAACAGCAGCATGGGCTGGGACTTCACCATGGTCTCAGGTGGCTCCGCAGGGTGCTCACATCAGGCTGTTCCTCCCTACCTTTGAATCTTCAGATCTGTCTCTCTTTATAGTGCTCAAAAGGTTCTCTTTCTCTCCCGTCACTCTGCTCCACACTTGCACATCTTAGTGGCTCATGCTGCAGGTGGGCCACACGTTGGGTCTCTAGGTATCTTTTTCCTGCCCACTCTGCAATGCAGTGGGTGGGGCCTCTGGGTGTCTTCAAGTGTTTGTCCAACCCAAAGCTTCCAAAGGAAATAAATCTCTGGCCAAGCTTAGACACAGCACAGTAAAACCGGAGTTCAACATAGAGTCACCCAGTCTCACAGCTGATAGGCCAATGATGAGAAGTAAACACAGCAGCACATGTCCAGTCACTTGTGGGTCTCCATTCTGTAGGTACTGCTCTGCTTCCTGGGCTAGGATGAGGTTCTGGGAGTCACAGTGACACATAGAGTGGTCGGTGTTCTCAAAGGAATAAGGCATAGGCCCAACAGCATTTGTATTTGTTGCTGGCAGTGTCATTCACCTTTTCCCAAGGAGCAGGAAGAGCAACTGCCTTCACGACCGCCACTTCACAGCACACAAACTGCTCACCCTCCATTTCTCTACCACCTATTCGCTTGCTTCTTTCTCTCCCATCACGCCACAGTGTTGTCTTTGTGCTTCCTGGAGTGCCTGCCCTCT